GTAGAAATAATAATAATCTCTTATATAATATATTCTGCACAACCAAAATAATATTATCTTCATATCAGCGTACATTATTCCTTTCTGTTTTCATAGAGTTCGTTGAAGCAACACAGAAGTTGAGTGAAGGAAAAGTTCTTACTCGAAAGCTTACAAAAAAGAGCTAGTCGGAAAAGCAGATAAAATTAAAGAAGAAGCAACTGACGATCGTGTCATTTCAGCTTCAATTTCTCCGAGTCTGAACAATAAACGAACATTCGGGTCATGTCATTGTCTTTCAGGAGGTGTAGGTTTTATGATCGCTGCAGCTGTTTATGCCGCCCCCTAACCAGCAGTCTTTCTCGAAGGACTCATGCCGATAAAGACTTCCATTTAAAAGGCAATCTATCTTTTTTTTATTGCTTGAAGACAAAAGAATACGTTTGTTTCATCACTGGGATTATTACCTTAGTCATATGGTTTTTACTTGCATATAGAATAAGCAGTCTAAGTAAGGCAGGCGTTCGTTGTTAGATTATACTGGCCATTTTTATTGACGTTAAACGTTTTGCGTATATTGCTTCCTAGAATATGCTTCCAATCAAATTCTGCATTTAATAAGTTAGTTCTTATCAATGAACGGAATAATATGCGCTAAATAGTATTTAATGAAACCTTGCTAATTAGTATTTATTACATTTATAGATACGCCAAAGTGTCTATAAAGAGTCTTCGGTCCGGATTAGAATCCCGAAGAAGGCATGGATGTTTGTAAACGCATTGTGTCTTTACGCCATGGGGACACTTAAAATATTGTCGACCTGAGCATTTTCCCAAAGGTAAAGGTACAAGAAATTTGTATCCCTCTCGCCGGATGTTATTCTTTAAAAATGAGATGGAATGTTTCGTAACTCAGTCGTTCCCGTGGTGCACTCTGGACAACGTTCGCGGCTATGAAATGATTAAATGAGTCATGGATTCTGCTATCCTTCAGGAATGCTTAGTTAGCAAAGTGTTGGGTTGTTGAGGGAAGTGTTTATGCACATAGCAAGCAAACACAAAAATCTCGATAAATTATTAAGAAGCAAAAAAATATAAAACGTGTATAGTGAAATAAATTAAAGGAAAACAATTTGAATGTGAAATTTTGCTTTCCTGAGAAAAACAGAAGACTGTGATAAAGCGTAATTTAAAAATAAGTCTGCTAAATTCATCAACTGTAAAATAATCATCCACATGAGATAAACATGAAATTCAATTCTTAACACAAAACGTAATATAACCAGGGATTTCCATACAAATATCCGTAACGTATGGCGTATGAAATATTTTTATAGTTTATGATAATGTTTGCTGTAAGGTACCTAAATTCTCTGTTCCATACTTTATAAATTAAATAACCCCCCGAGATTCTGTCTCATAATGGAACAGAGCTGAAAACGTCTTATTGTCACTTAGAAAATAATTAAGCTCCATGCCGAAAAGCATCCGCAATCTTGCTCTGCTTGCCACGATAATGTTTGTAGATTTATTCTGACGTTATTATCAAACACGTGAGATAAGTCACAACATAAATTAAATGAATTTAAAATTATATCAGTTAGATACATTACTTAAAAATTCAAACTAAAATTAAACTTACTAAGAACTACTATATGTTTATTACATTTAAAACATTCATCCTGTTAAGCAATAAAAGTACATTTTTAAAGAGAAAGACTGTAGGGTTTTCCTTATTTTGCATAACAAATTTATTTTAAGTTTTCCTGTTCTAAACTTCTCAACTTCCCCTCACATTCTCTCGCCAGGATGTAAAGTTAAGTGAAGGGCTATTTAAACGTGTGAATATATCAGTTTATTCAGAGCGTGTTTCGCTAGCCAAGCGCACCTTTCGTTGTTACTTCGCGGTCACGCTAGTAAGCCTCTTGGCCTTATTAGTTTTAGTATCACGCCGGTTAGATTTCTATGAGTCCATCTCTTGAGCGTAAATTGAAGTGCGTTCTTACTTTATTTATTTTTAGGTTTGACTTGTAGTATAGTCTACGTTTAGTTACCGCCGCAAGAGAACGCTGTTTTTGTAACGTACGAAATCCGTGCCTTTCTTTAAATTAGTTTCAATTAATAAAGGGTTATTTTTGCACCCTTCTTCCGTGCTGGTATTTAATTCACGCCTGTGCGAGAATTCGTCAGCTTCATTGTAGGATTTAATTTAATTTATGTGGAATAATAGAGATAGGTCTTATAAGACCAAGTGTAAAAGAAACAAGCCAATATGAAATATGAAACTAGGCAAAAAAACCAATCTTCGTTTGACGCAGATTTTGAATGAATTTCTATCGATTTAAAATTGTATTTGAATAAAAGCATGTTATTTTATCCAAATCTACCCTAAGCAAAGGCTGATTTTTTTAGAAGATTATCGCGTTATTTTAAATAACGCAAAAATATGCACGAAAATAAAAATAATAATAATCGAAAACCATTTGATGATATATTGGGGAGATAACATAATCGTGAAATGAAGCCTGAGCAAATTCTTATCCATAACTCAGAGAATCTTAAGCATTAAAATATTCCATTATTAAAGAAAGAGTTCCGGTGATATGTATTTTGAAAAAAAAAAAATGCATTCGTTTCGAAGAATGACTGTTTAAAGTATGTGCCTTAAGCGTCAAAGATTAACTTTAGGTCAATGAACTGCTATTAAAAATACTGTTGCTATTGGACAGTGCACCAAGAACCCAAGAGACCTCGAAAGAATTTGCTGAAAGGTTTCTGTAATTTCAATAATTTGCTGACTTCTGTTGGTTTAATTTATCCCTTTCGCAGTTAAAAAACCTCTATCGAATACTAATTATATTTGAAATAAAATTTCTAACTTAATAAAAATTTTATCCAAAATCTACCCCAAACAAAGGTTGTTTTTTTATCAGAAAGTTACTGCATATTTCAAAACATTGTACTATAGCTAGCTGTTTCATGAGGGATCTGCCAGCTCTTCTCAATGACGACATTAAAAGAGTTCCAGAAATAAATGTTTGAGATTCTTGAAGCCATCGCGCTCATTCAAGAGGTGGGTTTGAAATCACTCAACGACAGCCGACTTCTGCTTGGCGATAGCTGTGTCCACCCTGCATTCAGAGAAAGGAAAATGATATCCTTGAAACTATACATAAAATTATGACAATTATTAAAACTTGGAAATCAAAAGTGGAGGAACGTGATATTGAAGAACTCATAATAAACATGAAAATAATCTGGTGACATAATGCCGAAAACTCTTCAACGAATAACACCAAAAAACTCAGCAGACGTATTTTTTCTAGAAAAGAAGAAGACAGAGATATGTAAGAGGACAAATGCCAGCATTTACTATAAAAGGTCTTTTGAAGACGCAACAGGATGTCAGAACAACGGTTTTAAAACGGTAAAAAACAGGTTTGAAGTCAATATGTTGGTTGACTTGTACAACGATAATGATTGGAAAATTTCTGAAGAGCAGAGAAAAGCATCAGACATTACGCAGATTCTCTAAGCCCCGCAAACGGAATAAAAATATGACATGAAAATGCAAGCTTTTGTATGTACGTACTATTGTTTCGGCGTATCAATAAACGTAGTAAAAAACCGTATAAGGTTTTCTTTATTTAATTTCATTTTACTTTATTTTTGAGTTCTTCAGAACGAATAAATCAGATTTCTTATATATACAACATATAGTACAAGTTATATATACAACATATATAGTTGGCAGTATTATATATACAACTTATATATACAACATATAGTTGGCAGTATGTTTTGCCCAGTTCCACCCCAATTTTGAGACGGAGCCTCCTCCCGGGAGCTGATGGGAGAAAAAATAGGATGTATAAAATGTAAATAAATTCTTGACGGTTCCTGTGTGATCATGTTAGCTAAAGGATTAAATAATCATGCAAATATTTTGGTTTCTGAAGTTAAATTTTATTTAATTTCTAATTCACCGAATTGGTAATTATGAACATCTGCAGTGCTTTCGAAACTAATAGAAAGTGTTTCTAACGCTATATATTAGTCACCTAAATGCAAAGAAATCGTTTATAAATCGCCAACCAGCAAGTTTCCTTCTTGTTTACAAACATATTAAAACATTTTACTCACTTTGAAACAAAAGTATATGTTGTTTCCGATATTAGAAACTTCTATATCGCCTTAATTACAATTTTTAGAGCTACATGGCCATTTATCAGAAACGACGACATTATATCTGACAAATATGGCCGTTCCAAAGACGTTATATCGCTGTCTCTAACTTCCGAGTGACCTGGATATTAGTCAATTCTCAGAACGTCACCATTTGTCGTGATATAAGAATTTTTACTTTCAAATTTGCAGTTTCTTAAAATACCGATCAATTTAAAATCAATAAACGATATTTCTTAATATTTTTTTATATCTGTTATTGAAATGTGAAAATGATTATATGGTGTTTTCTCCCTCCCTGGACTATTTTTTCCCACAACGAATTGTATAATGGATTTAAAATGAATTCAGAAGTGGTTTTTTCATGATATCTGTACGTACATATGTTTGTATCTCACGTAACTCAAAAATGATTAGATGCAGGTCGTTGAATATTTGTATATTGGACTGCTATAACATGAAATTGTGCTCCACGTTTTTTTTTTTTTTTCAATTGGCCTCACCAGACGCCGCGAAAGGAGAATTGAATTGAGTGACAGAGAAATATATCCCTAATGAAATTCGAGGAAATAAGCGCAGCAAGAAGGTGTATAATTTAATAGGCTGTACAAAGAAATCGTGCGGTATCTAAATCAGATTTTTAATTAATAAGAGATATTCTTAACTTATTATTCCCTTCGGTCCAAAATGAACCTTCGGTCTAAATTCTTTTCTTCAAAGTACATTGTAGTTGAAAGAATTGTTAAACAAGGCTTACATTGTCAACGCATACATTACATTTCAAGCAATCTCTTTACAACAGTCTTAAACATATTTTAAAATTCTCGTTATCTTACCTCTTGCTGTGCCACCTCCGCTGCTACTGCTTGTAGATTGACTTTCTTCTGTTCCCCAGTCATTATCTGGAATAAGAAACGTTTGCACTTCAGGCAGTCATTATTGACTTTTGACATAATGATGGCAAGATGTAAATTAAAATCAAATGGTGTATACTTGATTTATGAAATGCGGTGAAAGTTTATTGGTATAAATGCTACGGCCACAAGTAGCGGTAAAACTGTTAACACTAATAGTTCGACTCTTACTGGAATCCTGGCAAATGGGCTATATGTGCATGGAAGATTTCATTATTCTCAACACGTTTAACTCTAACACGAATCAGTTTCCTTAAATATATCTCTCCCTTTAGTCAGAAAGCCCTCGCGTACGTTTCCGTAATCTAAATAATTGTAGAAAATCTTATGGAAAAATTTGAAAAAATCTTCTGCATTAATTTTCACAAATAAGTGGCTAAAAAATTCAAGTGGAAAATATTGATAATGCTACAAAAGCTGAAAGGTATCTTTAAAGATTTCATTTCGCAAATTAATGAAAAATTACAATAATAAGCAAAAATAGAACCATGCACAGTACTTAATTTATATGATTTTTTATAAATTAAAAAATTGAAAGTCTAATCATGAAGTATATATAATTTCATCGTAGAAACTATCATACCATCATATTTACCCATATCATATTCAGTACTGCGAATGTATTCTTTTGTTTTTAAAATACTTTCAGAGACGCCAGAGATCGCAAAACCTTAACGACTTTTCCTTACTGCTAAATACGAATTAGAATAGATTCTGTAACGACAAAACCTCTATAATGAGTCGTGAAGGTTAATAAAATTTGTTAGAAATTTACAGAATTTGAAATTACTCATATTTCTTTTATAATACAAGTTTGTGCTTAGAATAGAATTTTTCTCCTCTTTTCGAAAGATTTTATGCCGTTATTAATCTGCATACAATAGTTGCAGAATTATCAACAATGTAAAAGTATAAGTGGTGCTAGGCCTAACGAAGCCGCTATTTGTTTACATTTGAAACTCTTAGTAGAACAGTGAATCAAATCAGTTTGTGCACCAAATGACTCCAAGTCTGGGCTTCTTTATGTAATTTATGATTCTTCATCGCTCTTTCAAAGATAAAATTTGATCACCCTTATGTCCCATTTTATGTTCTAGGAAAATGTTTTAAAAGTTGATTTTACTGTTATAAAGAAATTTAGTTTTTATAAAAGTACTATATAATATTTGTGGGTGAGCGGAAAACGTACACCTCACATGCTAGACTTTGCATCGAAACCTTTGCATCCAGAAAAGGCTATTTAAACACTGCTGTTGTAAATAATTTGTATATTTCACAGACTCCTAACTTTAATTGAAAACGTGTCTTGACGGATCAGACACATTTGAAATAGGCTCATGTCCACGGTATTCAACCAATCGATTTCGAAAACTGTAAAATGAGATTGAAAGTAAAAGAATTACTTAAACACAAACAGATGAATTAGGTGTAATAATGACCTAAAATTACTCCATTGTTATAGAAGTCATACCGAGTCTGTACATTCGACAGAGATATTCAGCAGATTCGGACTTACAAGTACAGATAGAAACGAGCGGGTCACCAGAATTTCACCATTGGGGTAGGAAAAGTATAATCCCACCGAACTATCTCTGCAGTTCCATCCCAATTTTCAGGAAGAACACGGGGGGGGGGGTAATTCGAGGGTCTCTGCTCGCCGTGAATTTTGAGTGGCCTTTTGCCGTGCAGACACTATACGCTTACAAACACCCATGCTGTCTCCAGGACAAGAGCTACTATGCCATGTGGGGTGAGATTCGGAATTACAAGTGCATTTTAGATTAAGGTTAGGAGGAGAAAGATCATGCTTTTATTTTATATTGGTTAACAGATTTTATACTCGTAATCATTTATACTATGGGTTATAATGATAACAATATTAATGCATTTTCAGGATGCAGTTTGCTTTCATTAAGATTAACATAAACATTTATTTTTCCATGAAAACTGAATCTCGATTAAAAGAGAGATGTTTTGATGGAACCTTTCTACAACTTGAAATGTATTAAACTTGGAACCACAATTTCTATGATTTGAATTTTTATTTTCTCTATCTAAGGCTATTTCACCTTTGCAGTCTCAATTATAACTTTTACGCAGCTTCTACCATTAACCTTGATTGTTAACGAACTCCTGCTTCTGAACCCAAATAAGACATTTAAATAAGCTTTAATGTAAAACACAAACTTAATAAAATTATAATTACGTATTTGCCGGCGTATAAGACGCACCTCTTATAAGGCATTTCTACCACCTTTTTAGCATGCCTTCGTGGTGTTGTGGTCAGTGTGTTCGATGGGTATGCGAGACGTCCGTAGTTTGAGTCCCGGCGAGGGCATTGCTCATTTTTCACACCTCCTGCTTCCAAAAACATCCTAATGTTTCTACACACTTTTATATATACATTTTTGAAGGATAAAGCTTTATTATTGATCATTATAATGAAAATTTAGTATTTTAAATATAAATACAAATGCAATACATAAAATAATACTTTACATAATACACAATATAATAGTACCTCTGCAAATACCCAATCTATCTGGGAAACAAAACCTTTTAATCTTCTTCGTCAAAACCCAGACACTCTTCTCCAGAGCTAAATGAAGAGTCACTTGAAACCTCTTCTAAATCTGCATCTGAGTTTCCATAAATCAAATTGTCCTCTGTACCATCTAGTGCATTACTAATGCCACACTCTTAAATGGTTTAACTACTTTCACTGTTTTCACAACATCCCATGAAGCTTTGACCCATTCACAAACTTGTGAAATGCTAGGCCTAGGCAGAAGACTGCATCTAGCTGGGCATTTCTCTTTCATAAATCCCTTAAGTGGTTTATTGATGCAGGCATGTAAAGGTTGAGTCTGGCTAGATAGGCCTCCTGGAATTACAGCTGAGTTTTCAATTCTTTGAGTTTATTTTTAACATCTTCTGTTCTGTGAGCACGTATCTGATATTTTCTATCCATAATTGCATTCTTCCTCCATCCGTCCAGCCTTTTGCGTGAACATGTACAAACACTCGTTGAGGAAATTTTTCTTTGGGTAGCGTCTTCCTTTTAAAAATCAATAGCCCATCAGCACAGCAGGATAAAACAACCGGATAGTTTAGTTTTTTCGTGCCCTGAAGTTTTAACAGTAACACATTTTGTACCTTTGGAATTTACAGCTTTGTTTGAGGGTACATCAAAAGTCAGAGGGACCTCGTTCATGTTTCCTGTTTGTGCAAGTTCAAAGTTTTCTCGCTTTTTTGCATTAATGACGAATTGATGAAATTCAATAATTTTTTTTTCATATTCGGCTGGCTTCATATTCAAAATATATAATTTTTTTCTTATTATTCGGCTTTTGCCATATTTTTGTTTCAGTCCACATAAATAGCTGATTTATTTTCATAAATCTTGACCATCATGATGCTGTTCCAGTAAAATCAGCAATATCTCTATCAGTTACCATCGCTTTCGTTTGACGAATAATCATTTTTGTAGAGATCGCTTTTCTGTGGTCTAAAATCCAAGTATTCAGATTTACCTCAAGTTCATGCCATTGTTCATGCCTTCGTTAGGTTATGTTTACTGTGAGTTCCTTTTTTTTTTTTTTTAGATCCTCTTCCTGATTCCTCCGAACTCTTATCATTTTCTCAATTGCGGGTGGCCCGAAATGTTTCTCTGCAGCCCTATTTCCATGTCCTTTAACATACGCAATCACACGTAGCTTGTATGCTATGTTATAGCAATGCCGATGTTATTTTTGAGCCATAGCTTGCCAACAAATTTAAGAGAACTGAACAGTAGAAATTTCATACACTTAAAAGTCGTTCGTAAAAATTGAAAACTTTAAACGAACCCAGCTGTGATCGTCGATGACAACGCATTCGCATTCACTGAACTGTACGTAATTGTAATATTCCCACACTCCTCAAGCAAACAAGAAAAAAAATCGCCTAACTCCGAATAGAGGAAATTTCCATAAATAAATGTAATCAAAAACTGAGTATCGACGTATAAGATGCACCCCGTTTTTCAGACCTATTTTCAAAGTAAACAAGTACGTCTTACACGCCAGCAAATACAGTACTTTCTCAATAAGTACTTTCCAGCAAAATCAAGTACTTGTACTTAGCGGTCACAAAATAAATATAAGGAATAAATACAAGCTTTTATAGTTCTCTACCAAGCCAATATTCAAATCTTTCTCTAAATTCAAATCACAAAATAACCTCTGCTAAGTCTAAATCAACACCCAAATCTCCAACAATAAATCATCAACGACACTGAAATTAAAAACGCGACTGTTCAAATGTAGCTAAGCAAGTACTAGCAGCATCGGCAAAGGTTTTATCGATAAATTCTGTTAATAGGCTCTTGCTACTGCTGTACCTAAAATACAAAGCCCATCTGCGCAACTGACCATGTAAAATACTGCATTTTTGTATAGGTTAAGTTACTTAAGTACACAAAGGATATCTGCTTGAGGAGAAAGACCCCTTCATAGAGCATATTTTAAGGAAAACCGACATGTGTTCCCAATGTACATGGGAAGAACCACGAAAATCATCCATGCTGTCAGTCCGTTCGCCTGGTCGAACCACTAGCTCACTGTGATCCAAACCACTTGGCAACTGGTGAAGTTATCATTTCTTACCCTTTGCCAAATATGGTGGATACAGAATAAGAGAGCATCAAAGTTTTAATTAAAGCTTAACATGAAGATAAATAAATAAAGCTTTAAAATATCAGATTTAAAATGCAACATAAATTGTTATCAATGTAAAAAATATAAAAATGGTTTGTGTATGAAAATCCAACATGCTTAGAATCTTCAGTTAATAAATAATTTTCCTTTAGAAAAATTACTCCTTTTCCCTTCGATGTTTTAATTGACCCTTAAAAATGCCAGATAATTACCACTAGAAAAGATTTGTTTTGAAGTGAAGCTAACAGCTCTATTAAGAAGACCTGAAGAAAAGAGGAAAAGTTACCGTTG